CCTAACACCCAGGCAAAGAATGGAATCAGGGATTCAAACTCTTAATACTAGTACTACTATGAATGTACTTTATTCCTCCTTAAATAAATTCTTCTCATCTGTAAAAAGGAGCTAACAGTAAACAATTCTGAAGCATCCCCTAAATTCCAATGCTCCAGCAGCCTAAATCTGGCACTCAACTATCGCAGATGCAGACAGCTGACATGTCATTCTAACGTCTGACCAGAAGGTGGCAGCAATACCTTTCTTTATTTTACAGATAAGACAGGAGGGAGGAAGGTAGAGAGAGAGGGAGAGAGAATTTCAGGTGCCTCACAATCATTCAGTTGACCTAATCCTGGAGAGGAGAGTCAAACATACAAAGAAATTACTAGTTTATTAGCTGTGTGACTTTGCGCAAATTGCTTAATCTTTCTGCTTCCATTGCTTCCCATTTAAATCTGTAAAGTGTAAAGTGGGACTGGTAATAGTAAATTACTCTGTATGGTAGGGTTATTGTGATAGTAGAGATGAGAAAATGTGTTAAATGCTTACTACAGTGCATGGCACATAGGAAGTGTTAGCTATTATTAAATAACTCAGTGAAAGAAGTGATGAGGGACTGGGCCTGGAGCTCAAGTGGTAGAGCACCTGCCTTAGCATGGTGTAAGGCCAAAAAGAGAGAGAGAGAGAGAGAGAGAGAGAGAGAGAGAGAGCATGAGATGGAAGATGTCCTGATTGTTCTCAAACTAGGAGTGGAGCCCCAAAATTAAGATAAAGGGGACAGGATTTCACTCATGAAGTCACTCCATCAGTGGAAACCCTGCACCCAGACTAGGCTAGAGAGTCCCCACTGAAAAGTAGAGAGCTGAATCCCCTCTGAGGCTTTTATGATCCCAGAGTCAAGAACACCAGCAGGGCCATCCAGGACTTGATCTCCCAGAGAGGGGTCTGTGCAACTGCAGACAAGTCAGCCACCTTGTCCATCTGAGCCAGAGGGTCTCACCTATGTGATGGGGGAAAGGGACCATGGGGACCAGGGGACAGTGCTAAATTCCTCATCTGGGACATTTTGAGAGTTGATTGTAAAGTGAACCATTTCAAGTCAGGCACCAGTGGTTCATGCCTGTAATCCTACCTACTCAGGATGCAGAGATCAGGAGGATCATAGTTCAAAGTCAGCCCCTGGCAAATCAAATACTTTGAGAGACCCTATCTTGAAAAAAACCCATCACAGAAAAAGAGCAAAGAGCTTGTAGAGTGGCTCGAGGTATAGGCCCTGAATTCAAGCCCCAGTATTGAAAAAAAAAAGTGAACCAATTCAGAGGCAATAGGCACTCAGAGCTGGGGACTTAAGAGAGGAAACACTAGGGAAGGCAACTGAGTCTCTTAAGCTGGCCTAGAATTCCTAGGCCCAAGCGGTCCTCCCACTTTAGCCTGGGAGCTACAGGTAATTGTCACAAGGCCTGACTAGCAAAGGAATCTTGGGAGGACACTGGCCTGAAAGGGAAGACCTCAGTTGACACTTGCTACGAGAAATTGGGGAACATGTCATTGCTTCTCTGTCTGTCACCTCTCTGCCATAGGCAGGGGAAGTAGGCAGTCAATATTGCTGAGCACCTACTGTGAGCCTCTTGGGAGTCATTATCTCTGTTCTACATATGAAAACATTGAAGCTCAGAGAGAACAAGTAACTCACTCAGATTCATACAGCTGATGTCCTGATCTCTTCCCACAGGAAGAGATCCCTTTATTCTACCTTAGCCTCAGCTGCCCATGTTCTCAGAAACACCTTGGGAACCTTACCATCCATAAATACTACCAAATCATAAACCATGCACTCTTGTCTGAAAACAACTTCCTGCCCTCTCAGCAGCTCCTTGGACTCCTTTGCACTATGATTTTGCACTAAGGCCTTGCCAGGGAGTTCAACTGTCAACTTCTTTACTCACCTAGCCATCTACTCTCTTGCCCACATAGCCCTGCAGACCCAGCTTAAGGTCCAGGCTCATGGTTTAGTTACCATGCCCGTAACCTCACTGCTTACCTTTCTTGCAAAGCCCTGAATGCATACAATTGCTTCTCTCTAAGCCTTCAGCAGAGCAGCCAAGGAGGCAGAAAACTTACACATCAAACACAATGGGCCAAGTACTCAGTGTTTAGCGTATTATAACTCATTTACCCCTCCCGGTGCTATGAGATTGGTACTATTATTATCACTCCCATTTATGGATAAAGGAAATGTTCAAGCAGAGGTTAAGTCACTCACAAAAGCCCAACACACATAGTGCATCGAGCACTGGTGTTCTAGAGTTCTAGCACACTAAGGAAGGATGAGGCCACTTGCCCTCCAGCCATCAACCAGGCAGCGTTTGGCTCTTCCACCTTGCGTCCAGCACTGCTCTCAACCACTAGTGGGGATAGTCCAAAAGAAACCTGGATCCTCCCTGCATTCTGGGACTGAAAATATCACCCAGGAGTTTTTTTTTTTTTTCAGTATTAGTGTTTGAACTCAGGGCCTACAACTTGACCCACTCCACCACATCAGCCCTTTTTTGTGAAGGGTTTTTTGAGATAGGGTCTTGCAAACTATTTGTCTGGGATGGCTTTGAACCTCAGTCCTCCTGATCTCTGCCTCCTGAGTAGCTAGGACTATAGGCAAGCCTCTGGTGCCTGGCTCACCCAGATTAATAATAATAAAACTAGCTTGCATTTTTCAGCTTTTCCAGTGCTAAACATATAGATATTGTTTGTTCATTTAATCTTCCCAATAGCACTATGAGGTAGAAGCTACAATTGTCCCCATTTTATTGAGATACAGGGGGACACTGCAATGAGGCTGAATTTGTACCATAGAGGGTAGGGATCCAAGTCTTGAGCAGTCGCATGCTGGGTCAGTTCTTACCTGTCTTCCTGCCCCAAGTCCTCCCAGGCCTGGCTTCTTCCCAGTAACCAGAGGAGTCTCCTCTGCCTTGTGGTTCCCCCACCCAGGCTTTGGCCTTCCTCACTCCACACCTGGCAGAGTCCTTCTGAGAGATTCACTGGTTCCATCTCCTCTGAAGAAGCTGGGTAGTAGGCTGGGGGCTTAGGCAAGGGAGTAGATGGGAACACCCTGGGCCCAGGACCTCCCCTGTTCTGCCCAGCCCCAGCTCAGACAACCCGTACTCTTAAAAGTCCAGGGTCTACCACCAGCTGTCTATAAAAACAAGGCCTGAGTTGGTCCCTCTTCCCCCCAGGCCTTGCTTACCCTCCTCATGTTGGGACACTGGCTCCAATTAGTTCCTGAGGGTGGGGCTGAGTCTGAGGTGGATGGAGCTCCAGACCAACGGCAGCCAGGGCTCAGGGCCCAGGCTGCAGCAGAAAGCTCAAGCTCCTCACACCTGTCAAGGCCCCCACCCCAGCCCAAAGGGTATCCTACCCCTCCCTGCTGCCACAAGTTGGGATGGGGGCAACAGGCCCTGGTGTATCCATCCTGTCCCTTTCTCCCGTCTTCCTTCTTCCCATTCCCCTGGCAACCAAACCAGACCCATCAAGGAGAGGGACCTGGCAGCTGTGCAGGGAGAGACTAATAGCCCGGAAGGAAGGAGGGGCCTGGGGAGGACAGGAAGTCATAGTGATGTGAGTGAGGGAGCAAGGGAGCAAGGGAGCAGGTGTTGGCTCTGGCCCATCTCAGAGGACACACAAAGGGTGAGGGGAGTTTTCTGCCCTGCAGTACCGAGGAGCTGGCCAGGCAGGGAGCCATCCTCCTTGCCCCAACCAGGAATCCAGTCTGGAGCCCCAAACCTGCTTCTCAGACACCTAACTCTTTTCCTCAGGGCCAATCTGAGGTGGATCTGTCCTGTTGGAGTGACCTGGAGTCCCCAGCAGCAGCTCCATGACTCCTGGCAAACCCAACAGGCATCAGTACCCTGGCTCCTGCAGACCATTGGAACTGCCTCTGTCCACTTCTGGGTGGCCTGTGCCTGCATTCTGGAAGCTGTGTGACATGCAAAGGCCAGACATCAGCCTTCCTGCTAACTGGAGGGAGGGAGGGATAGGGATGTGTGGCTGTGTATTTGTGTATGTAGTGTATGAACACACAGGTATAAGGGGCTATGCATATACATCTGTTTGTGAATCTGCCTGCAGCCTACTCTCTTCTCTTTCCCTATCTCATCCCCCTCCAGCAGCACCATCCCTGAGTATCTGCATCTCCTTAATAATGGAAACCGGTGCCTGCCAGTCTGTCCATCTCTCAGCCTTGGCAGCAGCTGCTGCCCCTCAGCCCCCTCCCCTTCTTACCTCAGAAATTGCCCTGGTTCCCGTAAGGCCCGTGACTGAGCAGCAGTTGGTGGGGAGGGGAGAGAAAATACAGTAAAGGCAGACAGCATAACACAGGCAGGCCCAATTGGCTCAGCCTCTGCCTTGGGCTCCGGACCTTCCCCCTACAGAGTGGGATCCAGATCTGGCCCAGCCACCCTCAGCCCCCTGGGAGGTACCACCCTGTTGGAGCCTTGGGGAGGTCCAGGTTTGGGGGCTGTGTCTTTAAGGTGGAAACATCAGCAGACAACCTCTGCTGGGCCAAGGGGAGGGGGAGGGGAGCTGGTCAGTCCATTAGCTGCAGAGCTGGCGCCAATCACCAGCCCTTCACAGAGCCCTGGGGAATAGGGAGAGGCCACTCCTTCCCCAGCCCCCTCTGCCTCTGCCCTCTGGTCCCCTATTTCTGCTGGGTGTGGTGAAAGAGGGGCAGCTGACAGCAGTAGAAAGGAGAGCCCCAGCTGACTTCAGGGGATAAGTGGAGGCACCAGCTCTGGGGCCTAGGCAGGTCAACTCTCCCTCCACCAGGCCACCCTTTTCTTGTGCCAGAACCTTCCCCTTTAACTTCTGGTTCTCCTATCCCCAAATTCTTACCAGCTTATCCAGGCAGGGATCCCAGCTCAAGTCAAGCCCTCCCACCCTAGGCTTCAGCTTTGGATGCTTGCTGGCAGGTCCCCCACGCCTGCCTGTGGTCACATCCTTGCTTCCATCACCATGAGCAACAGGGGGAATCAAGTAGGCAGAGCGCCAGCAACCAGGAGAGGGAGGGTACCGCCCTGCCGCTGTTCCGCAGGGTGGGGCATCCCCCTCCCCACACAGTCGGGCTCTAGTCAGGCCAGTGGGAGGAGCTGCCCGTGCCCCCCCAGAGACCGCAGGGCTATAAAGCTGCCTCGCAGCAGTCTGCGGCTCCTTCCCGCCCCAGCCTATCTCTGCAAGCGGTGGCTGCCATTCTCGGGCACCATGAGCCACCACCCGTCGGGCCTCCGGGCGAGCATCGCCTCCACCTCGTACCGACGCACTTTCGGGCCACCGCCCTCATTGTCCCCCGGGGCCTTTTCCTACTCATCCAGCTCTCGTTTCTCCAGCAGCCGCCTGCTGGGCTCGGCGTCCCCAAGTTCCTCGGTGCGCCTGGGCAGCTTCCGTGCCCCTCGGGCAGGGACCCTGCGCCTGCCCTCCGAGCGCCTCGACTTCTCTATGGCCGAGGCCCTCAATCAGGAGTTCCTGGCCACGCGCAGCAACGAGAAGCAAGAGCTACAGGAGCTCAATGACCGCTTCGCCAACTTCATTGAGAAGGTGCGCTTCCTGGAGCAGCAGAACGCGGCCCTGCGCGGTGAGCTGAGCCAGGCCCGGGGCCAGGAGCCGGCGCGCGCCGATCAGCTGTGCCAGCAGGAGCTGCGCGAACTGCGGCGGGAGCTAGAGCTGCTGGGCCGCGAGCGCGACCGGGTGCAAGTGGAGCGCGATGGGCTGGCGGAGGACCTGGCGGCTCTCAAGCAGAGGTCAGGGGGCAGGACTGGGGCTGGGTGGCGGCCGTCGAGGAGGTTGCTCCTCCCTCCTCTCCTCTCCAGCAACTCAAGGGCGTGGCTCCCCTGGCCAACCCGTGTGTGTGCAAGCAGCATTTTCACCCACTTTGCTCCGAGTGTCTGGGAAGGTGTGTAGGAGGGTGTCTATACTTCCCCCAAGTATTAAGGGGATCCCCTTCTCAGCTTCCAGCCCGTTAGAAAGAAAGTCGGGGCAATTCCACTAGGCAGCCTGAAATCCGCCCCTTAGAGTCCTGGGAAACAGGAACAGTGGATCTTGGGGAAGGGGAGGACGGAGTTTGGGATGAGGACTAAGCGATGACCCTGCTACTCACTCTGCGGGTTAGGTTGGAGGACGAAACGCGCAAGCGGGAGGACGCGGAGCACAACCTCGTGCTCTTCCGTAAGGTGAGCCCTGTTCACATCGAGTTCCACCTCCCACCCCCGGCCTGCATATCCAGGGTAGCATCGGTGGGCGAGGGGAGGCACCCAGACGCAGACAGGGAAGGCCTCGCCAGGCCTTTTCTTGGCCTGAGCATCTCCTTCCCTTTTCTTGACCTCTCCATTCCTGCCCCATAAAGGACGTGGATGACGCCACCCTGTCCCGCCTGGAATTAGAGCGCAAGATTGAGTCCCTGATGGATGAAATCGAATTCCTCAAGAAGCTGCACGAGGAGGTGGGTGGGCAGGGGTGTCAGGGTAAGCTTGGGAGTGGCCTCGCTGGAACTATGGAGACGAAGCTCTGGAGGAGACTAGTGGGTGAAGCGGGGATGAGATGTGAGTGCGTTTTTTTTTTTTTTGTTTTTCTTTAGACTTGGCCACTCACCCCCTCTACAGGTGGTTTGACTTCCACCCCTGCGCCATCTGTTGGCGGTCGGGGGAGCTGCATCAAGAACCTGACAGCTGGCTCAGATCCAGCCTGGGCGCAGGTTGCACAGTCCAGTGTGGGCCTTGCCCTCCATGGCGCCCCCTTCCGCTCATGCAAGTGTTTGTTTTCTCTTTTCCTTACGCTAACTGCGCCCCCCGCGTGGGATTTGCACTATCTGCTCATCCTGGACCATAGGAGCTTCGAGATTTGCAGGTGAGCGTGGAGAGTCAGCAGGTGCAGCAGGTGGAGGTAGAGGCGACGGTGAAGCCGGAACTGACAGCGGCGCTGAGAGACATCCGCGCGCAGTACGAGAACATCGCCGCGAAGAATCTGCAGGAGGCCGAAGAGTGGTATAAGTCCAAGGTGCGAGAGAGCCGGAGAGAGCTATGGGCTCGCCTGAGATCGTCTGGGTGGGGAAGGCGCTGGGAGATGTCGCACATCCCAGCCCTCTCCAACGTGGGTTACCCCTCAACTTTGCAGTACGCGGACCTGTCCGACGCCGCTAACCGCAACCACGAGGCCCTGCGCCAAGCCAAGCAGGAGATGAACGAATCTCGACGCCAGATCCAGAGCCTGACGTGCGAGGTGGACGGGCTGCGCGGCACGGTGAGCAAGAAGGTGCATGCCCTGGCTGGGGCCGGAAGATGAAGTGGTCCTCGACTGACCCTCTTCTCCCCCTCCCCAGAACGAGGCGCTGCTCAGGCAGCTGCGGGAGCTGGAGGAGCAGTTCGCCCTGGAGGCGGGCGGTTACCAGGCCGGGGCCGCGCGGCTTGAAGAGGAGCTGCGGCAGCTAAAGGAGGAGATGGCGCGGCACCTGCGTGAGTACCAGGAGCTCCTCAACGTCAAGATGGCCCTGGACATCGAGATCGCCACCTACCGGAAGTTGCTGGAGGGCGAAGAGAGCCGGTGAGGGGCGAGGCTGCTGGGGCGCAGCAGGGAGTGATGGATTTTGGGGATAGAGGGAAGCAGGTGACCTGGGCAGGGAGCTGACCTCGCGCTTCGCCCGCAGGATCTCTGTGCCCATCCATTCCTTTGCTTCTTTGAGTTTAAAGACGACTGGTGAGTTCTCCACGTCTAGCTTCCAGCCTGTACCTTCCTTTGTCCTTTTCTGTCCTGATTGGACTCTTCCTGCTCTGGTGCTGCTTAGGGAACAGAGTCCAGGCTTAGACTGGCCCCTATTATTTTTCTATGCCAGTCCCCTCCCCTCAGGGATGGGGGTGGGAACCTGAAAGGAGAGAGATCTCAAGCCTTTCCCATTCCACCCTTCATCCTGCTTTCTCCAGTGCCTGAGGTGGAACCTCTCCAGGACAGTCACAGCCGGAAGATGGTTCTGATCAGAACCATTGAGACCCGGGACGGGGAGGTGAGACAGGTCCCTGACCAAGGACCCCACCATTTCGCATTGTTTCTGAGCCCAAGCCTGGCTGCAGATCTTAGGGTGTTGTGGGTTCTTGGTTCTCTGGGGAAAGATAGGACAGAGAAAATGGGTGGATAAACTGAAGCCTCAGCTGGTTATGCCAACAGGGAACACCATGATCCCAAAATTGGTGGTGCTGAACTCGTGTGTCTTGCCCCCAGCAGGTGGTGACAGAGTCCCAGAAGGAGCAGCACAGTGAGCTGGACAAGTCTTCCACTCACAACTACTGAGACCCTTGGTTGGGAGCTCCCTGACCTTGCCCTAGGCCTACTCCAAACCCAAGCCCTGACAATCAGTCCCAAAATAGTTCCCCTCCTTCTGCATGTGTCCAGAGGGTGGTGCCAGTTCCCCCCTCCCTCGCCCATGGCCAAGTCCTACCCATCCAGCAGTAGCTGTGCCTCTCCCTGCCTTAATACATAGATGTGACCCATATGCTTTCCTTTTGGTGTCCTAGTAAGAGACCAGTGACCCCCAGGACAAGTTTGCTCCAGACACAATCCCATGATCAGTGGGCTGGCCAGGGTCTGAGCTTCACTTTCAAGTCAAATAAAGCTGCTATCAAGAGAAATCTCTCGTGTGCATTTGTGTCTGTGGAAGGGGAAGACCAGGGGTGGAGGGAGCCTTAGCAGTATTTTCCTACTTCTGGGGTCATTCTGACCTCCACTCTTTGGCATCTATAATGCCTATGTTCCCTAATGGGTTTTCTCCAACCTTTCCATCCCTTCCTTCTGAACTTCTGTTCCCCACTGCAGCCCTGAATGTCCAGCTGCTTGCTGAGTGTCCCACAGATCAACTCAACAGGTCCCAGAGCTCCTTCCTCTTTCCCCATCTACAATCATGTCCTTCCTCCTGGATTTCCCACCTCCAAAGAAGGCACTACTGGCACTCCTCTTTTCAAATTAGAATTCATTCATCTTACCTTTCTTCTCTTCACCTACCTCAATTCTGTTAAGTCTATGTCTTTTCTCTTTTCTTCCTTTTGTGATTCTGGGGATCAAAGCCAAGTCTTCGTGCATACTAGGGTTGCTCAACTACTGAGCTACTGAATCTTCAGCTACCACCCTATCAGCTTCTTAACTCTCTTTCAAGTCTGTCTGGTCCTCCCCCACTCCCACCCTAGTCCAGACCACCATCAATCATCTCTTGCCTGGGTTACATTAGCTACATTATCAATGGGCTCCTTCCCCACCCAAATCTATTTAATACACTTGGACAGCAAATCAGATTATGTTGCCACTGCCACTCCCACACTGCTTGACATGTCTATTTCTATGCTGTTCTCCAACTCAATTCCAGTACAGTCAAGCCCACTCTGGAATTAAGACTTCCTTCTCCAGTTATGGTGCTAGGTTCAGGGAATAAGACCCAGACTCTGCTCTTGAGGAACTTGTATCTGGGAAAGACAGGCAAAGGAGCAGAAAATGCCAACCTTGTGATGTCTAGGAAAAGCAGAGAGTGGAGGTGACATGTGGGAGGTGGGGCTGGGGTTTGAAGTCAGGACTTTGAGCTTGCAAAGGAGGTGCTCTACTACTTAAGAAACACTTAAGCTCCAGTCCATTTTGCTCTGGTTATTTTGGAGCTGGGGGATCTTGGGAATGATTTGCCTGAGCTGACTTCAAACTGTGATCCTCCCCATCTCAGCTTCCAAAGTAGCTAGGATTACAGACACGAACCATTGGTACCTAGCTCAGATCTGCATTTTAGAAAGTTTGCTCTGAACCAGGTGCTGGTGGCTTAAGCCTGTAATCCTAGCTACTCAGGAGGTAGAAATCAAGCAACTCTTGATTTGAAGCCAGCCCAAATAGTTCTCAAGACCCTATCTTGAAAAAAAGCCCATCACAAAAAAGGGCTGGTGGAGTGGTTCAAGGTCCTGAGTTCAAGCCCCAGTACCTAAAAGAAAAGAAAAGAAAGGAGAGAAGATTAGCCAGGCACTGGTGACTCATGCCTGCAATCCTAGCTACTTGGGACCAATAACAGTTGCCAGGGGAAAGCCTCTGACTGGCTTGGGCTCATCGTCACAATGTTTACCATATGAGTTCTCTACAAAGGGGCTCACAGATACACACAATCCTCATACCCCTTGTCTTCCCTCCCTTTTATTCAGTGACACTTTCTGCCTCAGAGGAGAAATATCACTGAAGAAGAGCAGATAAAAGCTATGGAGTTTCTAGTGTTCAAGTTTTCAAGTGAGAAAAATTTCAAGTATGGAAACTTCCACATCAGAGTTTGTAGCCTATGATTTATACTGAATGCAAGGAAGAGAGACTGAGCTGGAGATAAAGGAATGGGACATTGCAGGTGTCACTCCTGAAAAGAAGTGAAAGCATTCAAGAACAGTGTGTAAAATGAGAAAAGACCAGAGCCTGGGGGAATCTTAAGGAGACCAATGAGAATTGCTGGTCAGAGATGGAGGGGAACCAGGAAAGTGCGCACTTAAGAAACCAAGACAAGAGAAAGCTTTGCTGAAGGAGCAGCTCACCCGCCCACTAAAGAATGCTGGGAGGCCAGTTAGATAGTGATAAAGAAATCTGGGATTTATCAACAAGGAAGATGCTAGACTTCAGTGAGGGCAGGTTCAGGGCAGGCTAAGGTCAGAAGACAAAAGCATTCAAGTAAGAGATGAGGAACTATACAGTAGTCTACCTTTTCAAGACGTTTAACCATCAAAAAAAAAAAAAAACATGGCTGAGAGTGTATGTAGCTCAGTGATGGAGTGCTTACCTAGCATGTGTGGGGCACAGCACTGCAAATAAATTAAAAAGCCAAACAAATAAATAAGTAAATAAATAAATAAAACACCTGGAACAAAGAAAGACCTGTTTGGGAAAGGAAATTTGGGAGAAAGAGAAGATTAGACAAATGTTTTTCAAACTGCAGGTCTTAAAACATTGTAATATAAATTACAGAGTGAAGATCAACCTTTTATTGTATTTTAATTTTTTGTGGGACTGGGGTTTGAACTCAGGGCTTCACACTTGCAGAGCAGGCATGCTACCCCTTGCGCCAAACCTCTATTTTTCTCTGGTTATTTTGGAGATGGATTCCCATGAACTATTTGCCTAGACTGGCCTCAAACCATGATTCTCCTGATATTGGCCTCCCAAGTAGCTAGGATTATAGGTGTAAGTCACTCGCACCTGGTTAAATCAGCCTTTTATAAAAGAAAAAGAATACAAAAATGTAGGATGCTGTGAAACTTTTGTTATTTATTTATTTGTGTATGTATGTATTTATTTTTGTGGTGCTGGAGATTGAACTCAGGGCCTTGCACATGCTAGGTAACTGTTCTACCACTTGAACTACATCCTTAGCTCTTTGGTTCTTATTTTATTTTTGAGACAGGGTCTCATTGTTATCTTTGCCTGAGCTGACCTAGAATTCTCCATCCTCTTGCCTCTGCAAGAGGATCCTGATAGTTGGGGTTTGAGCCACCAAACCTGGCTCTACTGAACTTATAAACAAATTTTCTGGGTTGCCATATAAAATTAATCTTTAATCTTTGATTGTGGTTAGAAAAATTGAAAAAGACTATAGTTGGACATGTGTAAATGCTGGAGAAAATTAAAAACAATCAAATTTTCATGGGTGATCCCAACCATCTATGACCTCAGACTTGGATATGATTGAAAAGTTTCAGAAAAACTAAATTCTAAAAAAGGTGATCTGCTGTTAACCTTAGGAAGACAGGGCTGGGATTTGGTTGTAATTAAGAAAGCTTATCACGCATCGATTTTGTTATAGTCTGCTTGTGGAAAGGAGGTTAACTGGAGGGAGATAGTTTTCATGACACATTGATTTAGTACTGCTTCTAGAAAGAACCAGGGTTGCATGGGCACATGTCACCTGGACCCAGGGAAGTGCCCACTATTCAGCAAGGATCATTCATCAGGGCTCCTGCAGTGGGTACAGTTATCTGGGTGCAAATAATGAAGACAAGGGCTCAGGATGTAGCTCAGTGGTGGAGCACTGCCTCACATAAGCAAAGCCCTGGGTTTGATCCCCAGCATGGAGAAAAAAGAGAGGAAGAGAGACAGAGGGAGAGAGAGCAGAATGAGATCTCTTAGGTAAGGGGAAGTTCAGTGTGAGGTTACCTATAGAAATAAGGAGGATGAGAATTGCAGCTGCCCAGGGTAGATGTGAGCACTGCTTTAGAGGATGCCCGACACACTTGCACTGCCTGGCCTTCTGGGAGGAATGAGCCCACTTGGGCTTCACAGAGCCTGGGAGATGACCGAGACTCCCCTCAGCAGCAGAAGCACATGGCTCCTAGAGACACTGCCTCTGTCACAAGGAGCTAAGGTCTTCACCCTGGCCTGTTACTCATGGTTTCTTCTTACTAACCACTTTGATTATATAGCTTCCATGGCCTAGTAGCAACACATTCTGACTTCTAGGGCTTTCTTTGGTTCTGTTCTCATTTCCTATTACAGAAAATGCCCACTTTTCTGATCTTACTGAAGTGAGAATCTTTGTCCTTTCTGTAAGACATGCCAACCAATGTCCGAACATACTGAGTTTTTGGGACTAGTGGATTGATCCAGTTCCCTGTGTATTTCTGCTCCCATCTGGTGAATTAACAAATGTCAAATGTAAAATAAATGTTGGTTGTATTTATCCCTAACACTTTGTTTTCAGTGCTAGGGATTGAACCCAGGGTCTCATGCATGAGTTATACCCTTCCAGATCCCCACCTTTTCTGGAGACAGTCTTTTGCAGTGTTGCCCAACCTGTCCTCACACTTGTGATGCTCCTGCCTCAGCCTCCAGAATAAATGGGATTATAGGCAAGAGCCACTATTTCAGGCTCGTTTTTGGTATCTCTATTTGTTGTCTAATTCCATACTTAAGTAAATATTTCTTTAATGGTTGAAAGAGTATGAAAAGTACAATTTTAAACTGAGTGTGGTGGCGCTGCCTGTCATCCCAGCACTTGGGAGGCTGAGGCATGAAGATCAAGAATTCAAGGCCATGAAACATTGAAACTAGTGCAGGAAAGAGTAGGGAATACATTAGAACATATAGGCATAGGCAGTAACTTCCTAAATAGAACTCAAATGGCTCATCAACTAAGAGAAAGGATTAACAAATGAAATGGGACTACAGGAAACTAAAAATCTTCTGCACAGTAAAGGAAACAGTCACCAGGCTGAAGAGGAAGCTCATAGAATGGGAGAAAATCTTTGCCAGCTATATATCTGACAAGAGACTAATAACCAGAATTTATAGAGAGCTTGAAAAACTAAACACCCAAAGAATCAATGACCCAATGAAGAAAAAGGCAAATGAACCGAACAGAGCTTTTTAAAAGGAAGAAGTATAAATGACCAAAAAACACATGAAGAAATGCTCAGTAATCTCTCTCTCTCTCTCTCTCTCTCTCTCTCTCTGTCTTCTCTCTTCTCTCTCTCTCTGTTATTGGGGATTGAAACCAGAACCTTTTGCTTGCTAGGCAGATGCTCTACCACTTGAGCTACTCCCCCAATCTTTTTCTTTTATTTTGTTTTTGAGATAGAGTTTTGCTAACTTTGCCCAGGCTAGCCTTCAATTTGAAATCCTCCTGCTTCCACCT